ATCGGTTGTACCAGTACCTACCGATATTGACAGTAATCGCATTGCAATTGCAATAATTGCCTTTGCTATTATATTCTGTCATTATGAGACAAATATGTCTACGTCAAGGAGGACTTATTCGTATGCAATCACAATGGAACATCAATCAGAGATCTTCCGTGTTGTTGTTGCCGTTGTCGTTGCAAGCATCCTCGTCCTCGAGCATTATCCACCACCAATGGAAGGATGACATTTGTCGTCGTCAGCTGACTACCACGCCACCGCCACCGCCAACAGAGCCTGACAATCGTCCCGACACAGCCATGGTGTCATCATTTGTGGGTCATAACTTTCCAGACTTTATTGAACATTGGTCACGAGATGCCTTTTACAAAGTCGGATATGGATTGGGTGCCAGCACGGGTGGTTTGGCCATGCTTTGCGTAGTATTTGGTCCAACAACAACCTTTGTCATTCCGACTGCCATTCTTGGACTTACGACGGCGGCCTATTGGAAACGGGGAAAGGACGACATGGCACAGACCAGTCATGCCATTCGACGAAATTATCCAGTGCTTGGGAATGTCCGGTACATGCTCGAAACGGTCCGACCCGAGATTCGACAATACCTGGTCGAATCGGATGTGGATGGCAAACCCTACGAACGAAACCGTCGTTCCATCATTTATCAACGAGCCAAGAATGTGGACGATACCATGGCGTTTGGGACAAGAAGAGATGTCTATGCCACCAACTACGAATGGGCGTGCCATAGCATGTGGCCCAAGAGTATCGCAGCGGAATCCGACGCCACACGATGTACCATTGGAACGGCGAGTTTTGGAACAACACAACCATACTCGGCCAGCGTATTGAATATCTCGGCCATGAGTTATGGGGCCATTAGTGACAATGCCATCTTGGCGTTGAGTCGGGGGGCCAAATTGGGTGGATTCTATCACAACACGGGAGAAGGTGGTGTCTCCAAGTCCCACAAGGAAGGAGGTGGTGATATTGTCTGGAATGTTGGTAAGTACGGTAATTGTACTGTATCATGCATGCGATATACTATACTATCACTTGTTTGCTGGCGCTCATCATTTGGACCTTATACTTGTTCCTAAATTACTCTGATGTCTATATATATATACATATATAGGAACTGGTTACTTTGGATGTGGAATCACGGACCCCGCAACGGGAAGGCGAGTCTTTGACGCGGACATCTTCCAAGAGACCATTCGCGAAGCCATGGGACAAATCAAGATGGTGGAAATCAAATTATCCCAAGGTGCCAAGCCCGGACATGGTGGCATCTTGCCCAAGGCAAAGATTACTCCAGCCATTGCGGAGGCTCGGAAACTAGAATATCCAGCAAAAGGCGATTGTCACAGTCCTCCAGGTCATTCGGCCTTTGATTCCCCCGAAGCATTGGTGAAATTCATCATTCAATTGCGGGAACTCAGTGGTGGTTTGCCCGTTGGAATCAAAATGTGCGTGGGAGAGCCATCCGAAGTGGCAGCCTTGGTCAAGACCATGGTCCTATTGCAAAATGGTCCCGACTTTATTTCAGTGGATGGTGGAGAAGGAGGAACCGGTGCGGCTCCACCCGAGTATAGCGATAGCATTGGATTGCCATTGGAAGAAGGACTTGCGGTCGTGCGCAACCTGTTGGTAGGTGCGGACATGAAAGACAAGGTCAAACTCAACTGTTCCGGACGCGTTACCAATGGATTTTCCGTCGTTCGCATGGTAGCATTAGGTGCGGATATCACCTGTGCCGCACGAGCATTCATGATGAGTTTGGGTTGCATTCAAGCCTTGAAGTGCAATACTAATAGATGTCCAACGGGGATTGCTACCCAGGACAAGGAATTACAGTACGGATTGGATCCATTGGAAAAGACCAATCGGGTCTATCACTATCATCGCAAGACGGTCCTTTCGGCATCGGAGATTGTCGGAACGATTGGTCGTGAATCGTTTGATGAAATATCGAGTGGAGACATTATGCGACGAGTCCGACAGGGCAAGGTACAAACCTTGTCGGAATACTTACCAGAAGTGGAAACAGGTTGCCTGTTGAATGGCTCGGGGCCTGAGCGGTTACAAGAAGTGTGGGATTCGGTAGACGGGGGTGCTGACTCGACTGCTGTGGTTGGTGCTGTGATGGATATTAGGAGGACTAGCACTACCAAAAGATGGATCTATTAGTGCCCTGCTGTATTAGTATCCTCCTGTAAAGGAGAGGCACCGCGAGCATAATGTTCGGTAGGCATAGGCAGGCTTGTTTTAGAATGATCGATAAATGATAAAGGACCCCTCCGACTACAAATCCGACTCAAATAACTGCATTTTTTTCTAATATTATTTTACCAATAAAAAATCACAAGAGAAGAATGACTATAATGTATATATGCCCATCGCGCGTCTTCAGAGTGGATTCAACGATATGATCTACTGAGAAGATACCCATTATGTCTGAGAGGAAATGGAACGGAGAGCAACGATTGTTGGCAGTACAAAAGCTAGTCTTTTTCATTGGTCTCATCGTAAATGTCATTCTGATAGTTTCTCCTGAAACTACTTTCCCTATCTATAATAATAAGACTGGCCCGCCCCCTGCTGCCATTCAGCGCAAGAATTCTACAACAACAAGTGCGAGTATATCTCCATCACCCATTCCTCCATCATCATCACAACCGATCGAAAGCGGTAAAAAATGGGTCACAATAATAATCGTGTGCGGGAATGGCGAGACTTATGCCGTGAAAGAAATGAAGCCTTTACTGACCAGCGCTATACTTTTGTCTTCGGCGCCTCTGCACTTTGTCTTTGTAACCGATCAGGGATCTTCCAACCGAATCCGAAAGATCTTCCAGAATGAACTTGGATATTCCAAGAAGCCTATCAAGGTGGATACTTGGATCTTATCGGAATCCTCAGTCAATACATTTGCTTCCTTGTTGGACTACAATCCTTTGGAGCATCACAGCGGTATTTGGGGAACATCCAAACTCATGCTACCATGGATTGTCAAAGATATGGACAAGGCTATTATGATGGATTCCGATATGCTCTTTCTAGACGACCCAGCGCGTCTATGGAACGAATTTGCTAATGGCCATAACAGCAGCACCAGCAGCAATAATACCACCAATACCACGGAATGGATGTACAAGATGCCTCTGCATAACCCAGCCGCTCCATTTAGCATATGCTCCTGCATTATGCTTGTCAAGTTGGACCAAATTCGTCGATCGAACACTTTTCCTACACTCATGGAAGAAGCATTGGCAACTCAGCCTGACTGGAAGGGAGAGGAAAACCATCTTTACAATGCACCCAATGGGGATCAGGGGTTATACTGGGCCATGTTAGCAAATGAGAACGGCAGCCGCATCATTGCTCCGTTGCCAGAACAATGGAACGCTGATAGGTGCAACAATTATTTTGGGGTCTTGCTGCCAACTTCCGAAAAGGCTGTCTCTGTGCTCCACAACAATTGTAAGGAACATCGAAGTTACGGTTCGGCGCACGATTATTTCATCTTCTATGAGAAATACCGATGGCACTGGTTGAAGGGAGATAGCGGATCGCAACACTACTACAAAGTGGATGTGACGGTCCATCCGAAGGAAACGGAACGATTACAAAACCTGTTCCAATGTTTGAAGGAGAAGCGTGACTTCACATTGTGCAAATTGTCATAGACTCTGATGTCTTGTATGTTATAACGAACGACTATAGAAAATATATGGACTAGACAATATGAAGTCATAGAGACCATTACTATTGCTTCGTTGTAAACTAGGCTGGATATGTTCCCGTTTATACACCGGCGTTTGGGACTCAACGAGTGAGAAAAGGAATCAAGAAGGTGTATCTTTGGCATGATTGGCTAATAATGCAAAAATTTACGCCGCAGAAAAGTCACAATCTTTTTCAGATTCTTCGCTCCGACGTCTGCACCATTGTCGACAAGCAAATTGACTACCTCCAAATGTCCGGCATTGCGTGCTGCTCTCAATGGTGTCATTCCAAATTCATTTTTGGAACGAACATCCGCACCTTCCTCGACAAGTCGCTTGACTACCTCTAGATGGCCCTCCTCGCACGCGACGTGCAATGGCACGATTCCATCATCGTCTCGGGCATCGATGTCGGAACCTTGCTCAAGAAGCCACTTGACTACGCCCAAATTCCCAGACAGACTCGCCAAATGCAATGCTGTCCATCCATCGCCACAGATGGCATAGACATCAGCACCATTTTCGAAGAGCCATTTCACTGTCTCCAAATAGCCCCCAACACATGCCCTATGCAATGGTGTCTTCCCATCAATGCTTTTGGCATCTATATCGGCGCCTGCATGAAATAGCCACCTGGCTACCTCCAAAGAGCCCATGCAACTTGCCCCATGCAATGGTGTCATTCCATAATCGCTTTTGGCATGGATGTCAGCACCTACCTGCTCGACAAGCCACTGGATTACACCCAATTGTCCACTAAGACTCGCCCAATGCAATGCTGTGCATCCATCATCGTCTCTAGCATCAACATTAGCACCATTATCGAATAGCCACTTGACTAGCTCCAAATGACCCTCCTTACATGCCGAATGAATCGGTGTCCTTCCAGTTATGCTGCATCTGGCATCAATATTGGCACCATTATCGAGTAGACACTTGACCACCTCTAAATGATTCTGCTCAGATGCCTCGTGCAATGGCGACCACCCATAGTCGTTATCGGCATTGATGTCAGCACCTTGCTCGGAAAGAAACTTGACTACTTCCAAATGACAACCACGGCACGCTTCAAGCAACGGTGTCACTCCAACATCGTCTTCGGCATCAATCTCAGCACCATTCTGGACGAGCGACTTGACTATATCTAGCTGACCGTCGTAGCACGCCAATTTCAATGGTGTCCAGCCAAAATCGCCTGGGGCATCTACATCAGTTCCTGCTTCCAACAATTCTCGAACACGCAACACGTCTCCTTCCATCACAGCTTTGTGGAGAAGAAGGTTGTTATTTCCGTCGCTTTCATCCATTTTAGCCCGAACCTCTTGTTGGAGCTGGGTGGGAACACGTTGTGAAAGTTGCAAAAGTTTGGCGGCAGAAACATAGACACTCTGTCAGTCGCGTAATAATAGCAATCTACTATATGATGTTAGAAATGAGAAAAAACGCGACTGATATGTGGCCCGCAAAAAAGAAACTGGTTTAGTCTCATCAGAAACCAACGCAATAACGTATCGATCGTAGCGCATCATATATATTACTCCATCCGCTAAAGCTATTAGTCCATTTCTGTAATATACACTTCCTTAAATTAATTATGTTCAGCCTACCAGCCGAAAGCATTCTTATACACTCCTCGCAGTGTTTTGCGAAGCAGAAAATCTGAAATCTGCGTTATATTCGCATTATTCTTCGCTTGGAGACGACATCGGCAGCATTTTCGACAAGACTACAGGACCAATGGTCCATGCTAAGATGGATAGTGTCATTCCAAATAGGCGTTGGGGCGAACGTGGGCAGCTTTCACTTGTACCTACCTTCATATGACCAATGCCCGATCCCTATTGCAATGGTCTCATTTCAAAATCGGTTTTGGCATGCATGTCATTACCTTGCTCATTATTCATCAAGCTACTGGACAACAGCCACATTGTCCTTTCTAAATGCACCGTGCAACGCTATACACCAACCGTCGTCTTTGATATCGGTGTTCGCACTTCTCCCGACAAGCGACTTATTGAAGACTTCCAAATGACCAGTGTTGCTTGCCAAATCCAGTGCTATCCATCGGTCGTCTTCTCTGGCATCAATGTCAGCACTATTATTGGTTAGCCACTTGACCCATACACATTATTGGCTGGATATCGCCCGATTCTACACAGGCTTGTGGGACTCAGCGGAGAGGGAAGGGTCGAGAAGTTTTGGAATTCATCAGCGTCTTTGGCACCACGATTGCCTAAAGTATTACACGCAGGAGAAAAGTTGCAATCTTTTTCAGATTCTTCGCTCCGACGTCTGCACCATTGTCCACAAGCGAATTGACTACCTGCATATGCCCGGCATTGCATGCTGTTCTCAATGGTGTAAGTCCAAAATTATTTTTGCTACGAACATCAGCACCGTCCTCGACAAGCCTCTTGACTACCCCCAAATGACCCTTCTCACATCCCAGATGCAATGCCGTGTTTCCATCTTTGTCTTTGGCATCGATTCCGGAACCTTCCTCGACAAGCCACTTGACTACCTCCCACTGTCCACGAAAACTCGCCCAATGCAATGCTGTCCATCCCCTATCGTCTCTAGCATCGATATCAGCACCCTTCTCGAAGAGCCGCTTGGCTACCGCCACATAGCCCCCCTCGCATGCCCAATGCATCGGTGTTTTTCCACTTATGCTTTTGGCATTGATGTCAGCGCCTCGCTCGTCAACAAGCCACGTGAGAATATCTAAGTGGCCCTGCAAAAATGCCAAGTGCAATGGTGTCAATTCAGCATCATCTTTTGAAGCAACGTCGGCACCGTTTTCGACAAGCCACTTGGCTACCTCCAGAGAACCCCCAATGCATGCAAAATGTAATGGTGTCACTCGATTTGCAACAGGTCGTACTTGAACGTGATTGTCATGGTAACCTGATTCGACAAGCACTTTGGCCACTTCCAAATGGCCCTGGTAGCATGCTAAATACAATAGATTGTCGGCATGGACGGAGGAAAAACCCTTTGCATCCAACAACAATCGTACACAGACAAAGTTTCCTTCCGCTAAAGCTTCCTTGAGTAGTACCAGTAGAAGGTTGTTAATCTCCTTGTGATTCAAATTCATTTCTTCCATCCTCTTGGTGCTGTGGAAACGCTCTGATGTAATGCGCTTGCGAAAGGTTTGGAGGTAGTCGCAGCACAGTCATCGTATGAAACCTGCGGCATGCTGTATTATTTTCCCAGACGCGTCTCATCGTCTGCAATGTCATCGCATCATCGATAGGATCGTCACATTCTCGTTGCGCGCGTAATCGTCGCGCCAAAAAAATAGAAACTGGTTTAGTCCCAAATACAAGCTTTTAACAAATGGTATTATATATTATTATATGTCATTTCAAACTCTGAACTCAATCTGCTACGCACGCAGCCATGAGCTATATGAGTCAATTTTGTGTTTTATATGAAATTCGTAAAACGTCTTCGATTCTGTCTACCAGTCAAAAACATGTTGACACTCTGTACTATTGTAGACCAGCAAATTGACCTACTACTCCAAATTGTTACCGACAACGAATACTTCTCTCAATGGTGGTGTCAGCCCATTATCGTCTCTGGCATTGATGTCTGCACCGTTTTGGACAAGCCATTTGACTATCTCCAAATGACCCTCATTGCACGCCAAATACAAAGGCACCATTCCAACATCGTCTTTACCATCAATGTCGGCTCCATTATCGATTAGCCACTTGAGTACCTCTAAGTGACCCCTTTTACATGCCCAATACAATGGTGTCGTTCCACTATTGCTTTTGGCATGGATGTCAGCACCTTTCGTAATAAGCCACTTGACTATCTCCAAATGACCCTCCTCACAAGCCAAATGCAACGGTGTCATTCCAAGATTCTCTCTGGCATTGATGTCGGCACACTGTCCATACGAATGCAATAGTGCCATTCCAATTTTGGTTTTGCTTTTGGCATGAATGTCAGCACCATTATCGACTAGCGATTTGACTACCTCCAGAGTACCTTCTTCGCCTGCCCAATGCAACGGTGTCCTTCCATGTTTGTCTTGGACGTTGATGTCAACACCGTTTTCGATGAGCCATGTGACTGCCTTTACATGACCTTTGTAGCATGCCAGATGCAATGGTGTTGTTCCACTGTCGTCTTTGGCGTCGATGTTAGCACCATTCTCGGCAAGCCACTTGATGACTTCCAAGAAATGACCCTTTCCGCATGCCCAATGCAATGCTGTCCATTGATCGTTGTCTTCGGCGTTGATGTCAGCGCCATTATCGAACAGCCACATGACGATCTCCAAATGCCCACTGTTACATGCCAGATGCAATGGTGTCACTCGATTGGCGCCTCCAGTTGCTCGGACGTTGCAACCCCTCGTGACAAGCAACTTGGCCACCTCCAAATGACCATAGAAACATGCCAGCAAAAGATTTTCCGTGTGGACTTCAGCACCATTGTCATCCAACAGCTCCTGTACAAGCAAGACATTTCCTTCCATCACAGCTTCTTGGAGTAGTACTCGTAAAACGTTTTTAACTTGGTCATTCAAATCCATTTCTTCTAGTATCCTCTTGGGGCTGTGGAAACACTCTGATGATACGATGCGCTTGCGAAACGTTTGGAGGTAGACGCGATTGATTCGATCATTGCATCAAATCTGCTGCCTTTGCCAGTCGCGTTTATCATCAAGATCATCCCATCATAATGTAGGAGAGCATATCGCGTCTCCAGGCGCGCCAAAATAGACGCTGGTTCAGTCCCAAAATCGTGATCGCGCAGTTATATTATTATTTCGTGTATGAATAAAATATATATAAAAAATTTGTTAATAATAAAATAAATCTGCGTCGCGGATCCCGCATATAAAATACAATAAAAAATAGGTTGAAGCGGCGGTGAGATGCGCTTACTGTATGATACCGAAATAACGCCACAATGTCTGATGAGGAAAGTAGAACGGAACGCCGTTTGCTTGCGGGACAACAACTGCTCTTCTGCATTGGCATTTTGATCAATGCTCTACTGATATTTTCTCATAAGCAAGCCCTTACCATCAACTCGACAGTTGAGATTACTACAACTAAAAATCTCCCGAACAAAACAGCAGCAGCATCCTCCATAATCATTCGCAGCAGCAGAGGCAATAGCAGTCCACTCAATGTGGATGAGAATGGTCAGAGATGGATGACATTCATTGTTGTGTGCGGAAATGGTGAGACGGATACTGTGAGGGAAATGAAACGCCTATTGACGAGCGCCATACTGCTATCTTCAGTGCCCCTGCACTTTGTATTTGTCACCGAACAAGAATCTTCCAACCGAATTCAAACCATGTTTGAGGACGACCTTGCGTATTCGAAAAAGCCAATCAAGGTGGATACTTGGATCTTGTCGGAAGATTCTGTCAAGAATTTTGCGTCACTGTTGAATTACAATCTCGCTTCTCACCACAGCGGTATTTGGGGAACCTCCAAACTCATGCTGCCATGGATTTTAAGAGACGTGGACAGAGCAGTTCAGATAGACACGGACATGATATTTCTCGATCATCCAGCGCATCTGTGGAATGAATTTGACTCCAATGACTGGCTTTACAAGATGCCCATTCACAATCGAACACGTCCGTCCTCGATATGTTCCTGTATTGCTCTTCTGAAATTGGACCGCATTCGACAATTGAACACTTTTCCTACTCTCATGGTGGAAGCGCTTTCAAGTAAGCCTCGGTGGAATAGGGGCGGCCTTTATAAAGTACCTCACGGAGACCAGGGATTACTATGGGCCATGATGCTGAACAGCAATGCCCACGTTGCACCTTTACCGGAACAATGGAATGCCGACAGGTGTCATGAATACTTCGATGTGCTCAAGCCTGAAGAATTCAAGCCTGCTTCTGTGTTACACAATAACTGTGACTTTGGCAGCAACAATTTTGGTCCGGCTGAAGAGTATTTCATATTTTATGATAAATACAAATGGCATTGGCTGAAGGGAGAAGGGGCAGAAAAACATGCGGTCAATGTTACGATCCATTCGGAAGAGGCAGAACGGTTGGGTGATCTATTCAAATGCTTGAAGGAAAAGGGCGAATAATCAATATGTAAGCATAGAGCCAGGGCATTCTCATGACAAGAGGGCAAGATGGTTTCCAGGAAGGATCCTCCAGCAGATATCGAAATTACTCGACACCGCTACATTCGAGGTTGAACGAAAGTTATTATTGCTTAGATCGTGAGCGCACAAATGGCCTAGGGAATGGTGTCAACGCTTGACATCAATACGCATCTAATTCATTAATGCTATCTAAATCATGGATGTATAATCTGCATAACTGGGAGGAGAGTAATCATCATCATATGTGACGTCCGGCTCGCTCCTTATCCCACTCCGTACGTACACGCGTAGCGATCGAGTTTTCAGACTTATTTAGCTCTTTATTCAGATGTACGACATGGAGACAAGGAGAGAACCGGTAGAAGTGACTGAGGAATGAAGTACAGACGGCGTTTGCCGCTGGACACGCACGAGTGGTCAATGTCCAATGAAAGAAGACGGTCGCATATCGTACACGCATGCGCTGGCTGGGACTATATAAGCTGCCCTGCGAAAAGAAGACGGGCCACTTTGCAGACCATTAAAACACGTACCGCAGTACGGCAACGAAAGGCCTACAGTATCTGTCCGGAGAAACTTCCAAATTTAAAAAAAAAGAAAGACATTTTGAACCGCGGATTGATTCGGACAGTTGCGTAAAAACCTCCATTTGATTTGATGATATTTGGACATAGTAAGGGATAATATCGTTACGCAGTATTAATATATATTATCATCATCGAGCATTGCAATATGGCTAGCAGCCCAGAATCAGCATTATCTAAAAGAAACCAGAAAACCAATGATAATTGTGGTTGCCTCGGTCGAACTGTGAGACATTCAATTGCTGCTCCGTCTAAGATGGATGCAGCAGAAGGTATTGTTGCGGCTGAATTGAACAGGCTTTCGATTCAGGAGAGAGAGAATGCCTTGGACGATCTGCATTGTGTCGGCCACGATGAAGAAGAAGATCCAAATGTGATCCAAAACGCTCTAGAAAAGTTTGAAGAGGAAGTTCGCAAAGCAGATCATCTAGCATACAACTTGGCAGTGATGAAGAAAAATCCATATGTCCAAGACTCTGAATATCGACTTCGGTTCCTCAGGGTGGCCCTATTTGACGTCAAGAAGGCAGCCCGACAAATGCTTAGCCTGCTACAGTATCAAGCTGAATATTTTGGTATCGACACACTTGATCGAAGAATTGCTCTGACCGATTTAAAGGAAGAAGAAGTCAGAATCATGCTAAAAGGAATGTTTCACTATCCTACGCAGACGGACAGAAATGGCCGATACATGACATATTGTTTCAGCAATGTTTTCGTTTCCGCCATACCAGTGGAGACTATGGTGAGTATCGTGGAGTATATGCTGTCGCTGCCCCCATGGCCCTTTGTGAATCAATCTCATCGCAAATATGCTGTCAATTTACTCCAGATTCGCTCGTGTTTATTTGCCAATGAGTACTTCAACTCGTTTCCAGATGTACACAAGAAGGGTATAGTATTTGTGTACATGGATACAGGTAAACTTGATCAATCAATACAGATGGGTCCAAGTTACTTCAACTGGGTCTTCAGTTTGGTGAAATTTCACTCGGCCATCCCTCTCAAGGTTTCAAGTTCGCATTACTGTGTCAATACCACTGGCAGCAACAGCGTGGCGATTAATAAAAATGTGATTGAAAACTTTATCAAGACCCTTCCTAGGTATGCAAGGGCGAGAACAAAGTTTCACTATGGGAGTGCACTGGAGATCCGCTACAGCCTGCAAAGTCACGGCATTCCGATGGACACCTACCCGATCGATTCAAATGGCCAGATTCGACAAGAGATGATCGATAGCTCTTGTCTGAAGCACTATGGTATTGATGCTTCCAACTATTACAGAGGAAAATCGAATGAAACAGCGATAGCCATGACACCAGTACCTCCAACCCCTACCTCCTCTCAGCAAACAAGAGCGGGACATAGTGTCCTGGTAGAACCCAAACATACTGATGTGCTGCTTGGGCGTGGAAAACCGATTCAGAACCATCCTGGAAATATCCATTTGCGATCAATGATTGAAGAATCTCAGGAACAGTACGATGCAATCGGTAGACTGGAGAAGCGTCAAATGATCCAGAACATTAGGCATGCATGCCATGCCAAAGGCACCCGATTTCTGAAACAACATGGCAAAAAGACGTGGGTTTTAGCAGATTCCGCTGAAGCTGACGAGAAGATACGTCAACACTTCAGATGTGGTAGGAAGAAACGGTAACGATTGGAACTGAACTAGCTTCTCCAACTGTTACAGCCCGTGTCACCAACGCTGGATCATATATATATTTGAAGTTCTATGAAACAGACTTAGACTCTAAATTCCGTCTGCCACAGTTGCCTATCCGTTGCAAGCATGATAGTTTAATACGGTAGGGTTTTATTAATATTCCTTGATTGGACGGGCCACAATTTTTCAGTTTTTGCAACTTATTATCGAAATGCGCAATTTTATATATTTTTTAAAATATAATATACTGTATATTCTATCAAATTCACCGCACACTTCTGCGCGCAGAAAATGTGACGTTTTGAACTCCAATGCATAAAATATATGTGTCACCTACTACTAATGGAAAACCGCAAATATTGGAAAAGAAGACGGGCCACTCGTTTGCAGACGATAGAAGACTTATATTCCAGCAAGATTTCAATAATACAAACAGTCGATCATCGAGTAATGCAATATGGCTAGCAGCCCACTGTCAGAACTTTCTGCAAGAAACCAGAAAAATTATGTCAATCGTGCTTGCTTTGGTCTAAGTGTGACATCACGACCAATTGCTGTTTCGTCTGAGATAGAAGCAGCAGAAGGTATTGTTGCAGCTGAATTGAATGGACTTTCGATCAAAGAGAGAGACAGTGCCTCGGACGACTTTAACTGCGTCGGTCAAGGTCAAGAAGACGACCCAGAAATGATCTGCAACGCACTAGAGAAATTTGAAGAAGAGGTTCGCAAGGCAAATCATCCAGTATACAAATTGGCAGTGATGAAGAAAAATCCAAATGTCCAAGACTCTGAATATCGACTTCGGTTTCTCAGGGGGGCCCTATTTGACGTCAAGAAGGCAGCCCGACAAATGCTTAGCCTGCTACAGTATCAAGCTGAATACTTTGCTATCGACGCACTTGATCGAAAAATTGCTTTGTCCGATCTAAAGGAAGAAGAAGTGAAACTCATGCTAAAAGGACTGTGTCACTTTTCGACACAGACGGACAGAAACGGCCGATACGTGGCCTATTGTTTAAGCAATGTTTTCTTGGCGGATATCCCAGCGGAAGCTATGGTGCGTATAGTAGAGCCAAACATCTTGACACTGGTCCCATCGCCTTTCGTGAATCAATCTCATGACAAAAATTATTTTACCCTAGATTCGTGCATGTATGTATGCCAGTCAGGAGTACGGTTCATTTCCAGACCTAGACAAGAGGGGCTTGGTAGCTGTGTACATGGATGTAGGCGGACTTGACCAATCCATGCAGCTGGGTCCAAGACACTTCAACTGGGTCTTCAATATGATCAAGTTTTACTTGGCGCTTCCTTTCACGCTTTCAAGTATGCACTACTGTGTCAATATTGCTGACAGCAACAGCGTAGCGATTCGAAGAAATATGATTGGATCTTTCATGAAGGCCCTTCCTAGATACGCGACAGTGAGAACAAAGTTTCACTATGGGAGTGCACTGGAGATCCGCTACAGCCTGCAAAGTCATGGTATCCCACTGGGCACCTACCCGATCGATTCAAATGGCCAGATTCGACAAGAGATGATCGATAGCTCTTGTCTGAAGCACTATGGTATTGATGCTTTTAAGTACAGAGGGAAATCGGATTCCTTCATAAAGTCGAATGATACAGCGATAGCCATGACACCAGTACCTCCAACCCCTACCTCCTCTCAGCAAACAAGAGCGGGACATAGTGTCCTGGTAGAACCCAAACATACTGATGTGCTGCTTGGGCGTGGAAAACCGATTCAGAACCATCCTGGAAATATCCATTTGCGATCAATGATTGAAGAATCTCAGGAACAGTACGATGCAATCGGTAGACTGGAGAAGCGTCAAATGATCCAGAACATTAGGCATGCATGTCATGCCAGAGGCACCCGATTTCTGAAACAACATGGCAAAAAGACGTGGGTTCTTGCCGATTCCGCTGAAGCTGACGAGAAGATACGTCAACACTTCAGGTGTTGTCGAAGGAAACGATAACGAACCAGCAGGCGAGCATGTCTGAAACGGGTGCTTTCTTTTTAATAAAAAAATGAGAGCAGGAATAGTAAAAATATAGATATAATACACTAGAGGGCATACGAAACTCCAGTTGCTACTAAGTGGAATGTTACTTGTTTGCTTCTTACAGTGTAGTTGTCCTACCGCGTGATGAGACAAATCATGAAGCAGTGCGAGTCACGACTCGTGACAAGTGGTGCTGACATGAGACCAGCCACATGTGATTGATTCCATGGATCACTGCATTCTCAGCTGCAAACGCCAATGTTCTCGATAGAACCGGGGCTTTGGTAGTGGCTGCGTAAAGTTGATGCAGAATTCCCACCAAGATTGTTCGATAAGAGAGGCGAGACGATTCAGATGATTTATCCAAGTCGGGCCGCTCGACTCGGAACGAATTGGTCATGGAGCGTTCCAGTTTTGTACTCAGTTGTCGTCTCTATTGCAATTTTCCTATGGTCGAGGAAGTAATTGGATTTGACTTTGCTCAGCGCAATATTCGATTGTCGACATTTCTGAAAGCCGGCATCAGTTTTGAGAGAGGATCAAATCTGAATATTTCAGGCAGGGCTTTTCATGATGATAGAAGGAGCGTCGTATAGCCAAAGATTCTCTTCCATGCTGAAGCAAACCACTATCTGATATGCTCACAGCCTAGCATCCTCCCATTCCAAATTCAAATTCGGCTTGGCATTCTTCACAATAGTTTTCAGTTCCATAACCATCGCTGTCCTGCATATGAGCTTGTTGGCAGTCATAGCATTCTATTTTTCCACACCCATCGCACTTTTGTGGTCGACAATACCGACGATCATAGTCAATTGATTCACCACATATCTTCTTATGACATACTCCGCAGAAGAAGGGCTTGGCATGCTTGTTGGTTTCCAAACAGGATCCCACGAACAGAGGATCGCTGCATCGATGGCAGTTCCAGTTTTGGTTGTAAATGGTCGCTTGAAAGACTTCACTTGCATTGGCCAAGTTTAAAATGGTTGAAAAATCCGAACAACAGTGAGCCAATACTTGACTCATGGCATCCTGTGGTAGCTTGTCCAGCCGAAGGTTGGCAGGTGAAGCGTCGCCTCCTTCATCTTGATTTTTCTCCCCCTCCTCAACTGCTGCTGCTGCTGCTGCCTTAGTTTTCGGGTTGGAAGACGACGATGGTGATTTCATAGGAAATATTTTCAGGCTGACCGTTGATCATACAAATACGATTGACAAGTAGTTCAGATGGGATGGAATGTGATGATGTGCTTGTGGGCGTATATGGATGATGATGATTCGTCATCCTCATGGAAGAATCTACTGCTTTTGTTGATTTATTGACAGAATATACGTACGTAGGACTACGTCTGTCCTTCTGATTCAGTCATCCATAAATTTCAATTACCTGGCTGGCGCGACGTGCGATATGGATTTCAGATTTTCAAAACGAGATTTCAGATTATTGCGCGTGTCATCGTTTGTAAAATCCTGCTCATCACATCAAGCGATCTTTTTGATATTCAGAACGCACGCCTGAAGCCAAAAGCCATGTTGAAGTCCACCCCCTTCAGTGGCCAGATGAACGATAATGCAAGCATGCCGGTAGATGATAGTATCGAGACCTTTACTTGCTCAACAGACACTTCAGTCCTGATTCCAAAGAGGGTGAAGCAATTGACCATCATGAATCCATCCAGTTTTGAGCTTCCGATTGATCTGTGCAAAGAATTACGGTTTTTGTTAGAAGTCATCTTACCAGACGGCTTGAGGGAAATCGGCAAATCCGCCTTTGAAGGATGCATATTGCTACGCCATGTTGAAATACCTGATACAGTGGAAATTATCAACGATGAATCCTTTCAGGATTGCAAATCCATATCGGAAATGGATTTGCCAGGCGGTCTGAAGAAATTGGGCAGGTATGCCTTTTGTCGCTGCGTATCCTTGATAAAAATCAAGGTTCCCTCCGGTGTAGAAGTAGTGGGAGAATGTTGCTTCTATCTCTGTAAAGCACTGGTCGAAGTTTGTCTCGAAGAGGGTGTCAGAGAGATTGGACGAGCCGCGATCTATCACTGCTCTTCTTTGGAGCATATTCAATTTCCATCGACGGTGGAAAGGATTGGAAAAAGCGCATTAAGTGTATGTGCCTCCTTGGTCGATGTAAACTTGCCGCTCGGTCTAAAAGCGCTGGACGATGATTGTGTTCGAGGTTGCGCCTTGTTGGAACGATTCACCATGCCTCGAACAATCGTGTCAATTGGGGAATATGGCACCTTTCGTCAGTGTCCTCGCTTGATTCATGTAGACCTATCCGAAGGTTTAAGAGTCATTCCCAAGTGCGCATTTTGGGAATGTTACGCCTTGTCCACCATCAAGATTCCCGGTTCGGTGGAGGTTATTGAACACAAGGCCTTTAAGGACTGTCGTAGTCTGGTGGAAGTCGAGTTTATGGAAGGACTCCGAATGATTGGCCAACAAGCCTTTATGAGCTGTCTGTCCTTATCGGCAGTAACTATCCCACCAACGCTCAACAGGCTGGAATTTGGTGCCTTTGAAAACTGTACCAGTTTGGTTTCCGTCGAGTTTCCATCCAGGATGGGAAACATTGCAATCGCCCTGGATCTCTTCCGAGGGTGCCAGTCGCTTGTGAATGTTATTGTGTCACTTTCTATAAGAAGATACAATACGCACCTTTCAGCGAACTGGTTCTCTGGCTGCTTTCTCATTCAAGATGTCCTGGGGAAGTACAACGAAGTGGATGGACTCAAGCGACGATTTCAGTACTTTCCGATTCACCGATTATGCTACTATGCTTCGAAAACTACTGTGGAGGACTTGAATGAAGCCTTCAAGCTTCCGTATGGAGTGGAGGATTGGTTCCAAATGACGCCATTCCATGTTCTGTTGTCTTCGGCCAAGCCAAGAATGGATTTGTTGCAAGTCCTCTTTGATGTTGTCTTGAAAAGGTACTCCGCAACCATTCTAGGAACCAAGGATCGAAAGGGAAAACGAGCGTTGGACTACTTGGTCTCCAAGTGGAATGAAGAAACCAAACAAATGGCTTCTGCCTACTTGCAAAAGTGGATGATGGAGCGACTATTCCAATGGGGCTCGATCCAGTTGCAAATGAACATGCACAGCCGAGTCCGAGCCATTCTGGAAGAGGAAGATCACGAAACACGAAATGGGTTGCTACAAGAACTATACTGCATATTTGGACGATGTGAATTTCAAGCTGGTGTTTCGTACTTGGAGTTGGGGGTTTGGAACAAGGAAGTGACTGGAGCAAGGTTTAAGGGTGTCAAGCGAGCTGCCATGGATCGCGAGATTTGTCGGATTCAATGTGGATCGAGCTGCATTATACCCAATGTGATTCGATTCTTGTAAAACGATAGTGGTGGAATACTGTATTATGGTAATAAAATATAGAAGAATAGAAGAATAAAGGATTGCACAAAGGTACTATATGAATTATCGAAGCCTGTAGTAGTTCCATGAAGTTCTACTTTTGAGGTGCCGCAGAAGGTCGAGTGTCGCTGGAAGTTGGAATCGATAGTAGGTGCGCTGCCTCCTTCATTTCGAAATTCTCTGAGGTAACTCGCATTGAAGATACCTACCGGTATAGCAGTTGTTGAACTCAAACTGTCACAACTCAAACCATCAAATGTGAGCGATTTGGAGAGATTCAGTCCACGTGCTATCCCTATGTAATCAAAAACTGTCCCTAAACAGATATCTGACACGCGCGCGCGTGGAGGGTCATACGGACGGGAGAGCTCAATCTGTTTGTTGGATTTTGCAATATCAACCAATCATTGGAAACATACCGCCATGATCATCCATCCGATAGAGGATACCATCCATTCTTCTCCGTACTCAAACCAACAAGAACAATGTCCTGAGGTCCAATTGCTCCAGCGTTTAGTTTGGGTTCAGTACCAGTCATATTGGTGGCCTGCACTACTGTTTCAAGACTATTCCGAGCTTCAAGACTTTGTCGCAGATGAAATGGACCCGATAATGAAGGCGCAGATGGCAGTGGCAATCATGCGACAATTGAAACAAAGAATGAATACAAAAGTTGCCAGGCTACTTGGCAAGTCAACAATCGAAGTTGTGGAAATCACAACCAAATATCATGAATTTTACATCAAGCTCCCTGAATTCCTTCCAAAAGCAATCGACAGGCCACGATATGGCAGAGAAACTCAGCTCTTCTTGGATATGCACAGAGCCTTGGATCAAGTAGAAGTTATCATCAGTGAGATCACGGAAAAACCATTCTCCTTACTTCCTGGGATGGGGTCTATAACTTGGCTACAAAAAGCGCAAGCACAAGTTGCCAAACGTGAATTCAGAATGGATAAGGGAGCCTGTACATACTATCCTGAACTACGGGATAAAACAAAAGGCGACACTTCAATCAGTCCAGTAGCACAGGAACGCCCAATGGCTGACCTCATACAATCACAACAGAGCCCGATTCCTTCACATATCCAACAACAATTCCATCGTGGTGGTCGTGACGCGTCAAATCAAGACCAGATGCTTCAACAATACCAAGCTCTTTCGAAACTAGCACACGATCATTCCGATGACCAATCGGTAGAATCCATGTTTTCAACAGGCGTTGTTCCTCCCGAGCGCACTTCTTCGGGAAAAGCAGTTAGGGCAATCAAACACATTGACAGCGCTTCCACGAAACTGAAAAGCAATCGAACGAAACATTCGGCTGACAAACGAATAGGACGAAAGTCAATGCCCAGCATACAAGAGCAGCGAGTGGAAGGGAGAGACGAAATGGCTTCGCGCACTCATAGAATAACGTCTGATTCACGAAGGGAGACGACCGCACCTGAAACGACGAGCCTACGGAAAATTGGTGGACGAGTCAGAGCACCACTAGCCCGTCAGACAAAAGCTGGAATTCGACGTCCACCAATGACATTAGCAAAGGAAATGAACCGTGTTGCCGTTCCAACTAAGTCCCATGACGGGCACATTCGACGGGTCCAAGAATACCTACTTCATCAACAAATGTCGGTTACTAGTGACCATGCTGACGAAGCTGAGGCATGCATCGATGCTACTGACGGTCATCATCATCATCAACAACAAATATTGCCAATTGCAACGCCCGTGAGTCAGGATGATTCGAGTTCTGAGGCATCGAGGAACAATAGTATCCGTTCTAGGAACAATATCCGTCAAAATGATCATGCTGGCAATGTGATTCAGATGTCAGATCAGTCTGACATGCAAGATGACCCCCCTCGACCAAAACGTGGTGCTACCAACAAAATACTACGGCATGGTCCACCCAGGCCAAGTCCAAGTGAGGAAAGGGAAGAACCTACTGGAGATTCCTTTAGCAATGGAACAGATGCTACATCCATAGTGGACCATCGAACAGCAACGACATCCCAATGTTCTCATAGGAGGAGGCGCCAGACGGGGGATCTGGAATCTGCAGCCATATCCTCCAGCAACTTTGACGACTATCTCTCACAGACAGAAAAAACGCTCGAGCTCTTAATCAAGAGAGAGAGAAGTAGCTTACAAAAGCAGCTGCAACGTGGATCCCAGCGAAGATCTGCGGAACGACACTACAACAATGGTGGGCGTGATCACCAAAGGTCAAGGAGCGGTTGTCGAAGATCAACAGAGCAACGACTACTAGACCCCAGTGGGTTCTTTGATGGTTGTTTTCTTGCTGATGAAGACCAATATGAACCATCTGTGGCTACGTCCTATGCTGACGATACGACAGCATCGATTGAGATTCTTCCAGGTCTGGAAGGTGACGATATCATTCCTGGTCTGTCGGCTAGAATCAACAGGATGATGGCCGATAGGGGGTTTATTTTCAGTCAAGAGCGACCAAGAGCCGCCAAGGCCCATCATAGTCGCAAAAACAAGACTGTTCCAATTGAAATCTTACCAGGATTGGAAGGAGATGACATTGTGCCAGGCCTGAATTCGGAGATCAACAAGTTGATTGCAAAGAAGGGTTTCTTTTCCCGCCAAGACGTTCTGAACCTGATTGAAGAACTAGAAGAGCCAGATGATGAGAGCATTTCTATCAATTGCTTCGATGAGTTTACTCGGCAAAGAGTACGGGATAAAAAGCGCTAAGACACTTTCTGACGAATGAATGAATCGAACAGTTTTCTTCTGCGATTTGTGAGACGCGATGATTGCTACCGTAGCAATGAATAGGATCAGCTAAGTTTTCTGTCTATAGTTGGCATTCGAATCTTACTTTCTGCCCATGATACACTGCAATCACATTCTATTTTTGCTGACAGTGCTGACTTTCGGATCAATTCTTTCAAATGGACTGAGATGTACTCGCCGTTTCGTCAGAGCATCGCAGTAATAGGTTGTATATACAGTCCATCATTATCACCATTTATACAAAGGAGTCGAGAAACTATAATCATGGAAAGCGATTCGAACGCGGCTTCGCCAATCTCTTCTACCCCCGCGCTTCCATTTCCACGTGCTTAAACCTGTTCTGATGCGTGACGATGATGACGGTCGGTTCAATCGTTATTAGGCTGAAGGTGCAGTAAATAATGGGAATAAGCACCACGGAACAATTCAGCGAGATAATTCAGCGAGAATGATTGATTGATTGATTCTTGCAACAACTGGAACCATAATGAGTGCATCTAACAGTCCTTCAAGTGTACAATGCTCTTGTATTGCAGTCATCGTCACACAATAAGAGATTGACAGATGATGATTCAATACTGCATACCGTAATACTGAAGTCGTCTCATCTCGTCATCGTCTCGCAAATATAAAAATCTGAAATCTATCTCCAAGCCGATTTCTCGTCGTCTTCTACTCAGCGCGAGCCAGCCAAACGGTGAGATATTCTTGTGACGATGCGCATGATGATTGCACTATATATGTATAAAAACTTACGTCAGTAACAATAATGACCCATCACAGTAAGATTCTTTTACACAAGCATCTGTGATCGATATCCATTCCACTTGCTTGACGATCTAATCTTTGGAACTTCCTAGTCCTCACTCACCCACCCACTCACCCACTCACTAAAGGATCCATTCTCATTTATTCCAATCAATCAATCCACAGACATTACCACGATCACGATCATTAACATGATGGAAGACTTGCAAGACTTATTACCCTTCACCACTCTCCAATGGGAGGAGGGCCGTCGCCAACTCCAACAGATTCCAGATTACACCTCACCTCCCACAGAGTTGGCATTGGAAGCAACTCCAGAAGCCTACCGCAGTGATGAACTCATGGACCAAATTCGAGACCTGGCAGCAGCTGGCTGGCAACTGCACGGCGGCGGCAGCTGGTGACAACACGATGCCTGGCCAAGGAAGATGCCAGATTTCGTTTCCCGCTACCATGCATGAGAGCAAGATTGGTGTCGTTTTGTATGGTGGTGGTCTAGTGGATCCCCGAGGATATTCGGTCCTAGCCGAGCGTTTGGCGAGTCGGTATGGATTCCACACGGTCATTCCAATCTTTGCAGCCGACGTTGCCTTTGCTTTTGGGACTTGCGACTCGGGACGTTTGGACATGGCCAAGGCGGAGTTCCCACTAGTCGAGAAGTGGGTACTGGCAGGACATTCCTTTGGAGGAGTGTCAGCTGTGGTCGATTCTTGGAGCCGCTTCAACCGTGGTGATGAAGCCTTGGGTGGAGTCGCGCTAATGGCAGCTGACATTCAGCAAAATTTAGGCTGTGGCGAAATTGACTTTTCCAACAGTACCCTTCCCATGACCTCTATCAGTGGTGCTTTGGATGGAGTGTTGAACATGACTCGATACGCCGCCAATCAACAGTTTCTGTCGCCAGCGACACAAAGTCTGGATATCTTTGGTGGAAACCATGGAAACTTTGGTTCCTACGATGGCTCGGAACGAGTAGCCGTCTTGGGACCAGGACAAAACGATGGGACTTCCTTGATTGCCCCAGAGATTCAATGGGACTTGTCAGTGGCTGCCATTGCCCATGTAGCCTCGAGAATGGGTGTGGAAATGCCAATCAAGCTATCCATGGAAGAGGACGATACGATGATGAACAACGATACAAGTGGCAATAGCACCACCGAGTGTGATTGTCCCAGTCTTGGTAGCAATGGTACCAATTCCAGTGATACAAGCACTGCCTTTGGACTCAGCCCAGCAGGTGGAGCTACCATGAGCAATCCAATCTTTCTGACTGTTTTGTTGCTAGCTTGGCTGTTCAAGCAAAACTAAATTGGTTTCTACCTTTCTGCACAATACCAAGCTTTTAATTTATATTGAATTGTTACGATGTTGCGTGGAAAGAGGAATGACAGTACCTTGGCAAGGCGGGGTCTTGCTACAGTATAGTCTCCAGATTCATTTCTCCACTACTCCCTTATCATATGTATCACCGTTCGTACGTCTGTCATCACTCGTCGATAGAATGAATCATATTCAATTTACCCGGTATATATATCAAAAGTAATTCTTGTTGTATCATCTCCAAATCCTTCCTTCTCAATAACCCATGGTGTTGGGAGGAAAGAAAGATGAATCAGCATCACCACCATACTTTGTGAAATGGGTAGCAATTACATTATGGATTGCCATGGGAATTCAATGGGCATTCTTACAAATATCATCTGACGGACGAGCATCATCATCATCATCATCATCACTGCCAGAAAATATCAAGATCACAGATTCGGCGCCCATTATTCTCATGGGTCTTCCACGATCTGGATCACTGGCCATTCATGAATACTTTGAATGTCGAGGCATGACGTCTCGGCATTATTGTTGTGGTGATGGTGATGGTGATGATAATGCTAATGATAATGATAGTAATAATTCACGGAAGACATCCTTTCCGTGTCCGAATCAAAAGACCTGTGGGGATTGTGTCTTGACGAATCTCAAGGGGAATGCAAAAGCGTTTGATGGTTGCCATGGTGGTAGTGGTGGTAATGTTGGTGGCGTTGGTGGTGACGCTGATAATGGTGGTAGTAGTATCCAAGTCTGGAGTGCCTTTGACGTGGAGACGGACCAAGGATGGTTCTTGCCCCAACACTTTGCCTTGGGTTTGCTGCAGGAACAATATCCCAATGCCATTTGGATTTTGAATTTTCGGTCCAACGCTAGCGACTGGGCCAAATCCATTTATCATTGGCACAGTCTGACCCGGCGGTTCTTGCATTCGTTTGGTCATTTGACGGAAGACCAAGGCATTTGGGATGATTTGGAACCATCATCGGTCTCAAAGCCGGCCCGGACCGCCCAGGTGACAGCAGAACAGGTGGAAGAAGACTTGGAACGATCCGTAGCTAGAGTACTAGATACTACAAAACAACAACAACGAGAATCCAAGCGAGACGAAATCTTGGCTATCTTGGAAGAAATCTATCAGAAGCATACGGAAAGGATTGTCAATTGGGGTCGTCAGTTTCCTGCTCACCGATTGATCGAGATCCAAGTGGATGGAGACGACGTTGGCTCCACCATTCAATCGAAATTAGACAAGGCATTTGGTGTCAATTATCATCAGCAATCATCTCAAACGGAGTGCAAATTCAAATTTGATCCTCCCGACAATGACTGGCAAGACTTTTCGTTGCCCTATTAGCATTATATTGCGGCGCATGGATCATCCTACACTGTGTACTAGACTGCTGCCTACTAGACGAGTTGCAATTGATATATAATGGTAGATAGAACTTTCCAATAGGGCCTATACTGTTCAAATTTTCAAAAAGCATATAATACATTAGCGAGGTTCCAAAACCGCAGTGTCGTGAAATAGTTCCACACGAAAGAAGGCAAGAAGGTAGATGAGCCGGCATGACGTGTTGCATTCGTTCCTTTATACAGTCCTAGTTAGTACACTACATACTGTACACTACAGAATAAGTAATAGACCATGGGGTAGTATCATAGGAGAGTGTAGGACTAGTTCCATTCGCAGCTGCTGCTTAGTATTATGATTCCTTTTTGGATTCTAACGCTTTGTTCGCTCTCAATTTTATAATATTCGTTCGCTTCGTTTCATTCACCTCGCTCGCTCACCGCGAATGTATCGAACTTGCGGAGGAGGATGGTTCGGTATCCCCGTTTTGATTTCCACCATGATGATCACCACCGTTATCGCCAATGTCACCATGAAGTTTGAGTGATCGCAATCCACGTTCATGAGCCTCCTTGTGACTTATCCTCGAAACTCGTTGATAACACTTGGACATGCTAACATCGTCCGCAGGAGTAAAGTGTCCATCTTCCTTGTATTGTCGATCTTGTTCCATCAAGACTGCCAATACGGCTTTGAGTTTTTGTTTTTGCTTGTAGGTTTCGTTCAGAAAGTGATGTTCGACTCCGAGCAGACACAAACCCGAATCATGGGCCGTGTTGTAATCGTGTTGCGGCAGCGTGGCGGCAGAGGTGGTGCCACCGTTGGTAGTATTGGCGTTTGCGTGCTGTACGTAATCACCATTGTCGGGATGGTTGTCCATGAGGATGCTGGCGTGATAGGCCACATCCTGCCGGAAATCGTCCATTTCCTGTTCGGAATAGAACATGGCCTGTCGTTCTCTTGTCCCTTGTGTGTCGGTATAGACCAATACACCTTCGGAAAAGCAGACGCTCTTTTTCTTTTTCTTCCGTCTCTTGGATTTCTTGATCTTGGTTTTCCTGCGTCCCGGTGATTTGGGAGACTTTGGTGATTTCGAAGCGGAGGTTCTTCTACCATCATCACGATCCTCTGGCTCTTTGTAATCATCTGCAGCAAGAATCTGATCCGTATCATCGACATGATCCGTATCATCGATATCATCGTCATCCTCATCTGATTTACTAGCGGGAGCTGATGACGATGCTTCATCCTTTCGTGCTGGTTCTTTGCATACTCCATCATCATCATTGATATCATCATCCTCCAAATCTGCCAAGGGAATATTGAGAATTTCATCCTCATCGTCACTAAGCAGTAAGTTGGGTGGTGCAATCGCCGTTAGCCCTTCCACCTTCTTTAATCGTTCTTCTTCCGGCGATGGCAAGTCCGTAGTGGACATATCATTTTGTATCTCTTCTTGGATGCGTTCCCGTTCTTCCTTTTCTTCCAGCTTTTCCTTTTCTCGTTCCGCCTCTTCATCACCCTCCGCCAAATCCATGAGAGGCACAGAAGGTAAGGATTCCGAATCGGAACGTTGTTTGCGACTGGAGGGAGTCTTGAAGAGTTTCTTCAGCGTTGTGGCCGGACTTGATAAAACTTTCGCTTGAGTTTTTTCCGCGTTTCGCCGTCCCCGTACGGATTTCAAAGTTTTGCTCATCAATTTGCGAGGAGAGGGCATGCTTTTCATGCTCAACTTGCGCGGGGACGGCGGTACAGCGCTCATGATGTTGTGTTTCGTTTTGTTTTGTTTTGTTTTGTGTATTGCCCCTATTGGTTAGCTATCAAGGTGCGCGTCCCCTGTGATGTTGTCTGTGACTCCTTCTGAATACACTGACACTTGAATCCCAACGACACTGATACTGCAATGCCCTGCTGTGTGGCGCTCCGTCGGAAGTGTCTACTTGATCGTAATGGGCGCCCTAACCTTTGAACTGCAGCTCCTCTTTTAATCTCACGGGCAAAAATCTGAATGATTGATTCCTCAAGGCCGGGCCGATCCAATTCAATTCAATCCAATCGAATCGAATCCAATCCAATTGAATGCAATCGAATCTAAGCAGCTAAGCAGCAGATCCACACACTCTCTATGGATGATATTGATATGAATATTGATATGAATATGTATATGGAAGTTGCAATTGCTTGCCTTGATATATACGTAATATTGATTGATATTGATTGGCTTGATACGCAGCACCGCAACCGACCGCCAGTGGCTCCTCTCCCAACTGTCCCACACAAAAAGACCCCTCCTGCACACGTTTTTTTTCCCGGCTGGGCAGCCAGCCCAAAAAAAACCCAGTGGGACACTTCTTGAGAGGCATCCCATTCTTTAAAAACTACACTATTTATTGATGGTGACGAAAAACACAAAGTTGGCCAGACTTTTCCAATAAGTGTCATTTTAGCCCGGTTATTGGAGTCATTTCGTAGACATTTAGAGTCCCAATCAAAACTCAGGATCACTTGGTAATTTGTTCCGTGTGCGCTTCGATGCGCACTAATCATTTCGGGTCTGTCCTTTGTCGAGGTTACTCCTTACCGGCTCTTACATCATTCACGACATCGTCCTGGCTTGGTCCGTCAATGAAACCCTGTTTGGCGGCATCCTCAATGAGATCAACCAAAAGTTTGAAACTTGCTTGCTGCCCATCGCTTAAATACGCTTGTAAAGAATCAAATCAAATCAAATCAAATCAAATCAAATAAAACAACAACAACTACAATCATGAAGGAAATGGCCACATATCTAATGCTCGTCTTGGGTGGAAACGCAACTCCCTCCAAGTCTGATGTCTCGACTGCCTTGAGTGCCGTTGGAATTGAAGCCGACGACGCCAAACTCTCCGCCTTGATTGCCGAATTGGAAGGAAAGGACTTGGACGAAATCATGGAAGCTGGAAAGAGCAAGCTTGCCAAGTTTGGAGGTGGTGGCGGCGGCGGAGGCGGCGGTGGTGGCGGCGGTGCCGCTGCTGGAGGTGCCGCAGCCGAAGAAGAAAAGGAAGAGGAGGAAGAAGAAGAGGCTGAAATTGGTGGAGGCATGGATATGTTCGGAGGAGAAGGAGGTGGCGGTGGTGACTATTAAACAAATAGAAAATAGTGCATTCCTTGACACAACGTTGTGACTTTTGTTCATCCTTGGGACTGATATTAGTTTTAATATCGATCTTGGAATGGATATTCAGTCAGTTATGATTGATTCATTGCAACACATTCATTGTAACACGCCATAGACTTTACTTGTATCCAACAAATTTCATTGATCGTTTGTACAGTACCGGTACGGTATCATCGTCCTCATTATGTTTCCTTTTGCTTGGATTATTATTATTATAATACCATACTACTATACTAGCTACTATGGATTCACCATTCGCATCATTACTAGTGCACTGGTGCTTGCTTTCAGATTTTCACATCGTTGAATCCACTACTATTCAGTAGTATCGGTAGTTAACCTTATTCTTCTTTCGGTACAGATAATGCTTGTACATATGACAATACTAATAATTACTTGCCTATCCAGCTGAATCATGACTCATCAGCCAGGGGCATGAGAACAACACCAGACTCACAAGAGGTGACGCGCATCATACTATGGCAGAAAACAATACATGCATCTTATTATTATAAGAGCGCATCCAAGCCTACCATACTACTGTCCATCTTCGTGCTCGAGATTCTTGCCAAACACTTCTAGCTCCACCTTGTGCTTCTTGCCACGAGAACCATCTTCTTTGAATTCCACTGGGTTCTTTACTAGCCATCGGGCCTTTTGCTTGTTGGTGTTTTCCACAACCATTACGCTACATCCATTGTACATGGCCTCTTCACCCTTTAGATTGCGGAGGCGCATCCGGATTCCTGGCTTGGTAATCTTGAACAGCTTGCCGGGTGCGGCCGTGATGAAGGTACCAATCTTGGGGGAATCGGCAATGTTGCGGACCTCTAAAATCTCCACCAGCAATTGATGATCCAGGACATCGTCGCGTCCCATAACCCTGACCAAGGATCCATTCAACTCTTTCATTGCGGGCAGCTTGCGAACTTGATAGGTTTCACCCACGACAATCCCATCGATTACTTTGGGTCCGTCTTCGTCGTCACTCGACTCGGGCACATAACTCGAATCGGTACTGTCGGATGTATCCTCAGGATCTGGTCGATATACAGTGATAGACAAGCGCTTGTTCTCTTTAAAGGTAGATTCAATACTCCTTCGAATGGCCTTGACACCACGAAATTGAGTCACCGAAGTTCCTTCGACCTCCATGAGCTGATCTCCGACCCGTACTGGATTGATGGGATTGGCGGCAAAGGCTCCACCTAATCTTGACACATAAATTCTGCCGTGCCTCACTTCCAATCCCAAACCATGTTGTGGTGCTCGTGGCTTCCACTGCACGACGCCCACAATGGTGGCACCTGGTTCGTATTCCTTCACCATATTTTTTTTGAAAAATTAAAAAAATACAATGAAATATATAAAATACTGACGACTCGACTCGACTCGACTTGGACTTGATTCACTATCCTTGAAGAATCGAATATAGATGTTCTTGGATCTGTTGTCTGTTTGCTGAGGATATATGACACAATCACCAAACTTATTGAGAAGATACTGTATATTTTTTATGCAGATGAGATCTGGATTTTATGATGACCCACAGCCCACAGTCAGTCATCACAATAAAGGGTCCTCCCCCCCCATTCTCATGTTCCTCCCCGGTTTCGACGCCACCAACTTGGGGGTTTTGATCGCGTGGCAACCATTTTCCATTTTCAAATCCTTCATATGGGAACACGTTGCGGGAATTCATATTTGAGGAGTACCTGGTAGCTATTATGCGGTACTGTAAACTATATAACTACCGGAAGGCGGTTTTCAACCCGAGTCGTCCTAGCGTTGAAAAATGGGCGAGCTTCTGTAACATAAAAGAAGGTTGCGACAAAAGCCGCCCTAGTAGATCGTCTACCAGAATCATTATCAGGTCGTGCGAGTACTAGGTAGTAGTTGCAACCGAGTCCTGTGCTGGTAGCTTGTTCTTAGTACGTTTATGCGACAGCAGGCTAGACTGAAATAGAATCGAGTGCTTGTTTAAAAGCATGAAAGAAGGTTGCATGCGGCAAAAGCCACACCAGCTCTTGATCGACTTGATCAGAGGATGCCAGGAGTACTGGTAGGCACAGCCGAATCCTAGCTTCTAAGTATGCTTAGCTACTACTATGCGACAGCAGGCTAGTAGAATGAAAAGGCGAGAGCTTCTGTAACATGAAAGATGGTTGCGGCAAAAGCCGCTCTACTCGTAGATCTACTAAAATAATGATAGTAGGTACAACCGAGTAATTGATTCGAAGCTTCTTGGTATGCGTCTTATGCGACAGCAGGCTAGACTGATGATCTGAAAGAATAAGGTCGCGCCAGAAGCAACCACCCAAGATATAGAAGGATGAGAATGAAAGTAATATTAACTCTTTTACGGTAGATTATATGAAGGCTTCTTGTGATGAATAGTATCTGCAAGCAAAAAATCGATGCTCACCGATCTGTTACGAAGAGAGGATGGGATGGTGCATCATACTATTACTGTTTCTTCGAATCCTTCAAAAATCTTGATCTGCGGGATTCTAGGAGCGCACCTCTGGAGGAGTGGCGCCCTCGATGTAACAACATAGGAACGGCCTCTTCTTGTTCCATGATGTCAATCGCCGTCGAGAGGATATCTTGGAGGTTCTGGTGCTGTTCTTGTCTCTCGTCCATCCAAGTATAGAACGACGGCGTTGTTGGGAGTAGTATATGCTGGGTCATCCTTGGTGGTTGTGGTAAGAATGGCATATTTGTTTCTTGTGCTGCTGCCCCCAAAAGGATCATGTCGATCAGAGAATCTGACGGGAGCGGGGACGAGATACTTGGTGTTGTTGCTGAGTTGGCGGAAGCATCTTGTTTGAAACTAGTATTGTTATTTCTGTTGGGATTAGTCATGGTGGGTTGCTTCTTTGCGTGGTTTCTTCAGTTTCTTAAATTGTGTGAACCGGGCCAGACAAATTTTGAATGTGCATATCAGAAGAGAACCAACAGATTTTATTTCATATTATTACAGTAGTGTATCGTACCGGTACCGCATGAAGCAAGAGCTATCTGATCAAGAATATAGAACGGATTTTGAGATGATTCATTATTTTTCTATCTTTTTTGTCCCTGAATCCCACGACGCGTATATTATGGTCTTGGTCGCGTGATACCACATTTGATTTATAAGACGAGTTGTTCAAAGTCAAGGACTTTAAACAGAGTAGCAGAATTGGCGGCTCTTATATATGTACCGGTACAATGGTTTGGTTTGCAACCCGAACACTGACGTGCACGAAAGGTTAGACCGGTAAATGAAAGAGCTACTATGAACGAGGGAGGTAGCGACAGAACGATATAGAATGATACGAGAAACTCCTCTAACAATAGATTATTATTGGTTGGGTGGGGGTAAGTCAGGAATGTTTGATGTATGATATGCTGTAAGTATGAAGAGAGCGGCGAGGAGCTCCTGCTGGTCGTGGTGGTGCTACGCTGCATAGTGCTATTGCTTCTTGTTCTTGGGACCTGATGATGTGTGCTTGTAGTCTCCCATTAAAGATGATCTGTAGGACTCGACACCATAACGAAGCCTTGGATGCAATGAGGAAGTATCGTCTTCTATAATGCCAATCACTGTCGAAAGGATATGTTGGAGGTTACTCTGTTGTCTTTCCTCGGACGCGCCCATCCTTGTATTGAACGGCACGGGAAGCTCGACCATCCTGGGTGCCCCCAAAAGGATCATGTGGACCAGAGAATCCGAAGAGGACGGCGAGTTGCTTCTTGATGATGCGTCAGCTGAAGCATCTTTCGAGCTGTTATGATTTCTGTTGGGAGGGGTCATGATGAGGAGTTGTTTTCTGCGGTTTCCTTTGGTTCTAAAATTGTGAAAACACGGAACAACGAAATTTTCATTTTAGGAGTATTTCCTCGCATTTGTCATCGCAGTGTCACTTTTACATACAGTAGTGAGTTTTTCGTGTGATAAAATGTTGCGGTGTTTGTGGGGGAAAAACTAAAAGGACTGACCAAAGTTCCCAAAATCGTGTGGAATTTCACCATGACCAACAATCTTGATCAGATAGCTGTAACATAGCTGTGTACTCGTAGGAACGTAAATTGTCTAATAACAAATATGAAACTTTGTTCTGCTGGTGTGACCACGTCATGGTCCTCATATCCTTCGAGGTCAGGATAGAGTTTCACCGGCGGAATGATGTCTACAATCTTTTGTTCTAGGACGATGATGACCAAAGAATACTCGTTGGTAGGTACATTAAAATTGCACAATTTGACTGATAGTATGTGGTATATTCATCGATAATGTGAAACCATGAAGAAGGAGACAGAGTAATAGAGCGACGTTCGTGGCTTTGGCCCCCTTTGTTGTCTCTCTCGCCATACACTCGACCAGGCTTCATTAGGCTGGTGCCAGAACGATTCACCACTGCTTTGGGATCAGGCAGTGGGTTCGCCACATATATTGATAACCAAGAACAGTACCGGTACCGTTTCTGGCGATGACTGAGTCAGAGAATCACGAAGACAATTGATCCTCGTTTCGGAAATCCTTTTTCAAATGAATATTGGAAGAAATAATAACCGCCAAGTGTAGCATCGCTAAGGAAAGCTTGGCACAAGAGGTCAGAGATGAAGTGATTCTATCAATAAGATAAACGTAAATGAAATGGATTCAAAAATCGTTCATTAACATTAGAAGAACATTGTATATTTTAAAAATGGCACGCTACTGCCTCAGTAGTTCGCTTCTTGCAGTCTGCACTCGAAGCAATGAAAAAAATTTGATCACTGATGAAACTGCGGTTAGGCATTGAGAAACAATAGTGAAGATCAACCAATTATCCTGAAGACCACCACCGGTTGGGTGTTGTAGCCATTGGGTACAGGCCATTGTTCTTGTTTTCACTGCCGGGGAAATCCGTAGTCTTGATATCCCCCGGGATATGGCCTCTGGAGTGCCTGGTGGTCTTGAGTGAAATCCTCATCTCCGATCACATCAATCGCAATAGAGAGGATATCGGCAATCCCTTGGTAGTCATCATTTGTGTTGGAGTCAAGGATTGACGGAAGAGTAAACATTGATGGCTGTGACGATTGATATGATCGAGCCATCAACGAGACAAGAGAAGGGGAAGACGAGTTGTCAATCGCAGACGGAGTGCCATTCGAGCAATTATCAAACATTGGGGAATCGTTCATCCTTTTGCTTGCAAATATAATTTTGTGTGTCTCCGATGTCCTTGGTTCGTGGTTTGTCGCGAAAACTTGCGTGGTGATAAAAACTGGTGGTTCGCGACGCGTGTCATTTGACGAGCGGTGTGTGAGACGCTCATAGCATGAAAGGCACGTTTCAATTTGCAGTACTTAGATGTACGCCAACACCTGTGGATTTGATCAGATGCGTCAATCCAACCATGGCGAGCGTGACACGTGTAGAGATTCAAAAAATTATTCGCTCAAACGAAGAAGAATGGAGTCCACGCTTGCTGACTCAGCAATAACATTTGACATTTGATGTCTTTTGCTAGGTAACCGACAACACCTCAGCAAGCGCAGGGGAGGAAGCTGGTACAATAGCGAAGAAGTGACACGAAAGATACCCCCACGAACGAGGTGACGCTAGCATCGACAACGCACGTACGCACGTTCCTGGTATCAGGTACGATTACACGTTCCTAGCTGACGTTCAAAACCAGCTCCAGTTCATCTCTTCGAAGCATGGACAGCAGCACACCACCACAACCCAAGAAAAAGCAAGCCAGCACCAATAGGCAGAACACTCTTCTCATGATTTTTACCACTAGAAATTTTCAAAAGACGCTCGATTTCAAAGCAGCAATATCCATGAAACCTACAAACAATGAATCATCCCATGGGAAAGTTCTTATCACAACTGCACACAGGAAAGAGGAGAGGCGGAGCGAGCGAGCAGCAGGTGGCTGGCCCCGCGCCGCTGGCAAGAAGACAGGAACAATCATACCTCCTTGGAGCAATCATCGGAAGAACCTCCTCAGCCAATAACAGCTTATCGAATTGAGTAATGCACTATCATAGTGTGTCATCGAATTGTTTCTGTAGTGGTCAAAGCGACCATAAAAATAGCTACATCTCGCCGCATGGTTTCTTCCCGCAGTCGTGGTCGTCGCTGATGACCCATATGCTCAAGAGGACCAATCGGTTGAATCCAAGTACACGGCATGCCAACTTCAGGTCTCAAGGGCCATACGGTAGGTATTCCACAAATGGTTCCGTATCGAAACAACAATCCACGTAGCTGGTATTGGTACCATGCAGGTACATCTACCGGTACCGGTATACTGGAAGAATTTCGTAGAATCCAACAAGTACTGGTGTAAGGCTATTATCCATTGGCCTAAAAAAGTACCTTCGATTAGTTGGATTTTGATCAGACACTTTATGCTATCGCATTGGTCTCGAGGACTGAACCACTTGAGTAGACGGTGAGAAACCATCATTTCTGCAGAATTTGTTCTTCTCATTGGGACTGGAAACATTATGTCAGTCATTGATGTTGGTAGTTATGATCGCCGAACTCCTCGAATATATGACATATATAGCCAAAAATTTTCGTTTTTGAGCCCCAACACCAAACAAATTGTGGAAAAACGCAACGTCAAATGACGTGTTCGAAAGAAGGGTTCGCTTTGGCAGGAATTTTAATCCAGCTTTCTGTGTCAAGGAGAGTAACAACTGACAGAAGCTACGCAAGAAAACTTCTGGAATGGATCTTGGAGTACCGGTAATTGTCGAAGACAATCAGCGAAGATGTGTTTACTGTGCCATTGCAAAGTCTCAAGCGACTAGGACCTGAGCTACTGGGAAGCCAAAGACAAGAAATCTAGAAGATGACAGTCCTCCTGCTCTATTATGCCAGGGAAGTACCACGTGGCTGATTCATCATTGTCGTAGTACTTTTTCTCTTTCTGCATGAATCATTAGATACAGCTTTCTAATATTTATACATGCTTCTTTATACAAAATTCGCCATCAGGAACTGCGACGATAAACCTGCCATGTTCGAATGGCAGTTGGCTAGTATGTTTTCAATGGGGAACTGGCACCGAAACATCAGGCAGGAGGAGCGAGAGATGGAATGAGCCAGCATACCCGTTCTTGCTTACTGTTTCGCTCCTGCATGAGGAGAAGAAGCAACTCGCTTGTCGAAGAAACCGTCCATCTCATCCATCGAAAGAGGAAAGTCACTGCCCATGATCTCCAGAACTTGACCCAGTACTTCAGAAAGGTCTTGGCTGCTTCTGTTGTTGTTGTTGTTGTTCTGGAAAGTTGGCAGCCTCAGTTGAGAGGCGTCTTGCTGTGAAGAAGCAATTGCTGTTCCAAGCAAGGAGGTCAGTGAGTTTTCAATGGGATAGCTTGGAGGCTGCGCCGGAGAAGAGCAGGATGATGATTGAGCGTTCGGCATGGTTTTAGTTGATTGATTGTTCTTGTGGATAAGGTCGGTTTGAGAAAATGTGGGGATTTGAAAAGCGTTTTGCTACCTTACCGGTACACAGGTAGGGTGCTCCCACTTTCATGGGACCGGTTGAAGGCAGCCGCACCATGTTAGTCGCTGAGCAGTTTGGGGAGATCCGGCACGGCCAATTACCCGTTTTCTATATATCATATAATTTGCCATCGTTCGCGCTTCCTCTCAAACCATCAGCTACCGGTATACTTTTGAAATTATTGTCATCACAAGAAGACAGCGAAGAGGTGACAGATCCGCCGCTTGGCCAGAGCTCACAATATACCAGGCAGGTACAATTAATATTTTGTCATACCGTACCCGGACTGCTACTCTACTATACACTGCAACCTTTTGAATTGAATCGACCAGAAGCTCAAAGTATCGGTAATCCACCTTCTGAGACAGATTGGTGAACTCGATATTGTGCAAACCTTTTGATTGAGTCGGTCGTCTTCCATCCGAAGCTAGTTACCGACCTCTACAGTCGATAGACTGCGATTGCAGCTGATATTTTCAAATCTAAGTACATTATTTTCTAGAATTTTCTAGTACGAGTACCTGGTACCAAATACTTTTCAAGACTTTGGTGTGAACTTCGTTTCTATCGTTTTGCAGTGCACTCAAGTTGCTATGACAACCAATGAAATGAATGAATCCGAATTTGTCAACTACTGATGAAATGTTTACTCATGTTCTCAATCTGCTTATCGCCTAGTACTTTCAAATCTGAAGTGCTCATTTCTTTTCAATTGTTTTGGTAACCGACAACACCTCAGCAAGCGCGAGGACAGTAGCTGGTACAATAGCGAAGAAGTGACACGAAAGATACCCCCACGAACGAGGTGACGCTAGCATCGACAACGCACGTACGCACTCTCCTGGTATCAGGTACGATTACACGTTCCTAGCTGACGTTCAAAACCAGCTCCAGTTCATCTCTTCGAAGCATGGACAGCAGCACACCACCACAACCCAAGAAAAAGCAAGCCAGCACCAATAGGCAGAACACTCTTCTCATGATTTTTACCACTAGAAATTTTCAAAAGACGCTCGATTTCAAAGCAGCAATATCCATGAAACCTACAAACAATGAATCATCCCATGGGAAAGTTCTTATCACAACTGCACACAGGAAAGAGGAGAGGCGGAGCGAGCGAGCAGCAGGTGGCTGGCCCCGCGCCGCTGGCAAGAAGACAGGAACAATCATACCTCCTTGGAGCAATCATCGGAAGAACCTCCTCAGCCAATAACAGCTTATCGAATTGAGTAATGCACTATCATAGTGTGTCATCGAATTGTTTCTGTAGTGGTCAAAGCGACCATAAAAATAGCTACATCTCGCCGCATGGTTTCTTCCCGCAGTCGTGGTCGTCGCTGATGACCCATATGCTCAAGAGGACCAATCGGTTGAATCCAAGTACACGGCATGCCAACTTCAGGTCTCAAGGGCCATACGGTAGGTATTCCACAAATGGTTCCGTATCGAAACAACAATCCACGTAGCTGGTATTGGTACCATGCAGGTACATCTACCGGTACCGGTATACTGGAAGAATTTCGTAGAATCCAACAAGTACTGGTGTAAGGCTATTATCCATTGGCCTAAAAAAGTACCTTCGATTAGTTGGATTTTGATCAGACACTTTATGCTATCGCATTGGTCTCGAGGACTG